AGCCTCCCAAAGTGCTGGGATTACAGGCGTGAGCCACTGCGCCTGGCCGAGCTAGCTCTTTTTAATTGATCCTACTATTCATATGTTTTCAATATCATTGATTTCTGTTATTATTTTCTTTTCCTGGCTTGAATTTATTTTGCTCCCCTTTTGTATTTTAAGGTGAGACCTTGGATGATTGACTTCAGACTTTTCTAATGTAAGCACTTTAGTGCTACATATTTTCTTCTTAGCACTGCTTTGGATGCGCCCCACACATTTGGATACACTTCATTTTCATTTTCATTGACTTTTGTTTTTCAGTGTATTTTTTATAAATTTTTAAAGTGGTTATTCTGGCTATTACTACTATACATGTAATAATGAGCTTAATTCCCAAGTATTGAAACATTTCCTGTTACTTTTCTGTATTGATTTCTTATTTGAATCCATTATAGGCAGAGATTATATTCTCCATAATTTTATATTTGTTACTGTCTTATAGCCTCGGATATAGTCTATGTTGGTAAGCATTCTGTGAATGCTTGAAAAGAATGAGTATTCTGCTGTTATTGTGTGGATTTTCTGGAAACGTTTATTAGATTCTTCTTTATATCTTCTATTTCTTTGCTTAGAGTTTGTATTTTCATGTTTCAAGTGCATTTGCAATTGCTCAACGAAGCCTTTTTGTGGTGGATACCTTCAATTCCTTGCCAGATAATTCCAATTTCTGTCTATCTCAGTGTTAGCATCTATTATAGATTGTCTCTTTCACTCAAGAGAGATTTTCCTGATTCTTAATATAAAAAGTGATTTTTTTTTTGGTTTCAGATGGTGCTCTGTTGCCCAGGCTAGAATGCAGTCTCACTACAACCTCCACCTCCTGATCTCAAGCTATTCTCCTGCCTCAGCCTCCAGAGTAGCCAGGATTACAGGCACATGCTGCCACACCCAGTTAATTTTTGTATTTTTAGTAGAGATGGGGTTTCACCATGTTGCCCAGGCTGATCTCGAACTGACCTCAAATGATCTGCCTGCCTCCGCCTCCCAAAGTGCTGGGATTACAGGCATGAGCCACTGTGCTCAGCTTAAGAAGTGATTTTTAACTGTATTCTATAACACTATGGGACCATGGATCTTACTTAAATCTGCCATGTTAGCAGGGCTTCTGTGACACCATATGTCTTGGTCCATTTAGGTTGCTATCAAACAAAATACTGTAATCTGGATAGCTTATAAACAACAAAAAAGTTGTTTCTCATAGTTCTAGATCTTGACGTCCAAGATCAAGGAGCTGGCAGATTCAGTGTCTGGTGAGGGCTCGTTTCCTGGTTCACTGATGGCACTTTCTTGCTATGTTCTCCTTACATGGTGAAGGGAATGAAACAACTCCCTTGTGCCTATTTTAGAATGGCACTAATCACCTCCTAAAAGTTCCTATCTCCTAATACAGTCACCTTGGGGGTTTGGGTTTCGACATATAAATTTGGCAGGGGACCACAAAAACATTCAAACTATGCCAACACTATGCTAACGGGAAAAGAAGAGTGCTGCTTCATTACTTCCAGATGGAAATGGAAGTCCAAGGCGCCCACTGGACCGCCACTGACATCTGGGGGTCAGGGGAAGGTATACTTCCTTACTGCTGGGTGAAGGTGAAAGTTCAGGCTCTGTATAGGTCCCTGCTAATACATCCTGACTGGGAGAGAGAGACGTGTATCACCACTGCTCCTTACATGGCCTCCACTGACAGCATAAGGTAGAGCAGTAGGTAGAGAAAGGCTTATTACATTTGGGTGGTGGTTAGAGTCTCAACCTCCCTGTTCTCCTCCTTTGAAACCACCCTGACAGAGAAGGGACAGGATGTCTCATTACCACTGAATGAGGGTTGAAGTCCACGTTTCCCATGCGGCCTTCATGGATGTCTCTGGGAGATGCTGAAAGTTCTGGTTCCCTACTAGACTTCTCTGACATAGCTCTGACAGGAAGCGAGGCATGCCTAGTGACAGCTAGGTGAGGGTAGGAGTCTAGGCTCCCCACTGAGCTTTGCTGATGGAGGTGGGAGGGGAGCTATGGTTTTTGCTGTAGCATTTGGCTAGAATAAGGCAGTTAAAGTCTGAAGGTTTTCTGTTTTGTTAGGCTTCCTCTCTTCTGGTCCTTTTGCTAGAGGGAGGAGGCTTTTTGTTTGATTGAGTCCATTGGTATTTCCAGGTTTCTGACTTCTCCAGCACCCAATCAAGGATATGTGGGGCAAAAAGAAAACCCAAGAAACTTGCTGCCCTATTTTCCCTCTGGTCTCAAGGTCTCTAGGCAGTCTGATTTTTTCTTTCTACCTCTGAAACTCCTCTTAAGTTTGTGATAGATACACACACACACACACACACACACACACACACACACACACACACACGGTCTAGGGTTTTTAAATGTACTTTGGGGAGGAATAGAGAGAAATGTGTCTATTCCCTCTTGTCTGGAACCATATAGGGTTAAAATGATCTTAACTTAAAATAATCTCTCAGGTATTTATCATGAATGTGTCTTGTTGTTTCCACAACAGATTAAGAAAACTTTATTAACCTTCATATTTTAACCTTTAATTAAGCAAAAGTGTACGCTTCATAATATGTTTGCTGTTCTGTTTTACTCTGTTCACATTTCTGACTGCAAACTTGAGCTTTTGCTGGTAAGAGTTTCATCATCCATGAAAAGATGACAACACGTACTGAAGAAGATACTGCTTCTTATCACCACACTGAGCTCTGAATTGGTATTACCTTTTTCTACACCAATTATTCCAACTCTTTCCAATTGGACATAGTTGGAGAGAAGTGATTCTAACTTATGAAGAAACTAAGTTAAATCACTTGCCTAAGATGAAAAAGCCAGTTATTCTTAGAGCTGATAGCAATTAAGTTTTATAACTAAAGATTCTTTCATTGTAATAATAATCCTCCTTAAAGTCGAGTACTTAAAACTACTTTTAATATCAACATAGCTTCAAATGTAAAAGTTGAACGAAGTTTAGAACTAAATATAAAATAAATTAGCTCTAATATTTTAACATGTTGTATATATGAGCTGAAACAGTACCTTTAATTTTAAAAGACATACATGTTCAGATGGGCGCAGTGGCTCATGCCTGTAATCCCAGCACTTTGGGAGGCCAAGGCAGGTGGATCACTTGAGGTCAGGAGTTCAAGACCAGTCTGAGCAACATGGCAAAACCCCATCTCTACTAAAAATAGAAATATTAGCTGGGTGTGGAGGGGCATACCTGTATTCCCAGCTACTTGGGAGACTGAGACAGGAGAATCGCTTAAACTCAGGAGGTGGAGGATGCAGTGAGCCAAGATCGTGCCACTGCACTCCATCCTGGGAGATAAAGTGAGACTCCATCTCAAAGAGAGAGAGAGAAAAAAAAAAAAAAACAAAACCCAGAGAGATACATGTTCATTATCAGAAAAAATCAAAAGATCTAAAGAACAAAAAGAATATGCAGAACATCCACCATGTAGCTGACTGTTAATACTTCACTGTGTATTTTTCCAAAACCTTGACTCATTTTCTCTGTTTTGCTTTTTCAAAAAACTGTGGGAGGAACTAATGGTTATATACTATTTGATTACATAGACATGTCATAATTTATTTAAGTATATCCTATTGCTATTGACTCAAGTCATTTCCAGCTTTTTCTTTTATTTCTTTTTATCTCTTCCTCCCAGCTTTTTCTTAAACTAAAATGATGATGGTAGATTATTTACTTAGGACAAATTTATAAGGGTAGAAATGTTGGTGAAAAGGCAAACACATTTTTAGGCTTTGGATACTTACTGTGAAATGATACTAAAGAAGGATTATAGGAATGTCTAGGTTACCAGTGTGTGTGAGTGGCCACTGGCACATCTGCAGAAACACTAAATGTTCTGTATACATACATAAACTCTGCCCTATCTGCTTGCTCTTCTTGCCGACTTCCACCTTCCTATTAACTGCTTCCACTCCTGACATACCACCCACCTTCTACCCTCATTCGTGATCCAGGTGGTCCAGTTCTAGCTTCTCGCTTCTGTAAACACTTTTCTGCCTAAAAATAACTTTTCTTCTCTTAGATATATCAGTATTGCTAATTAGCAGCTGATATATCTGTTGGTCTACCTGTTCTTGTTGTACCTTTGTTTCCTAAGCTAATGGAAACCTGTGGCTATGACAATGAATTATTCACGTTGGCATTTTCTGTAGTGCCCGTCCTATTACAGTGTCTCAGTAGACAGGCAATGTGTATTTGTTGGTTGGCTTTCATGTTTCTTAATTCAGATTCAGTCAGTTATGGAAGCTTATTGCATCTTCTGTGATATGGAATAAACAAAACAAATCTTTGGGCTACTTTGCTGCCTTACGTTAGATCTGGAGAAAGTATTTTATTATTCTTGGAAAATATTTAAGTTACTGCTACTTTAGAATAGTAACTATAAGCCATTTTAAAACTGTACACAATACATAAAATCCTATTTTTACACATAAAAAATGTGATTAAATGACAGTAGCAGACACTGGGAGATAGAGATGGGTTTCTCTATTTCACATGTGACTTTTAGCCAGTCAAAAGGGATTCACATCCCATATTAGTTAAATGTTACTATGAAAATTTTATAAAGTACTACAGAAAAGCTGTTATATACCTATTGAGTTCTTTTTAAAAAATGGCAATACAGAAATTTTAAAAGAGCTATCTATATTTCGAAATTTAAGTCATCTCTATAAATAACAATTGACCTAGGCATTTATGCCCCAAAAGAAATCCATTCCATTTTTTAACTTAAAATAAGCAGAATAAAAGTTAAGATGGTCAAACTAGGCTTCATAAATGACTCAGCTTCAAATGACCACAGCAAATTTACAGCAGATCTAAGAAACAGCTTCAATTTTATCCATAAGTACTTGCATATTTTCGTCTCATTCTATGATATAAAAACACTAAACGGCGAAAATCTTAAGTGAGAAAAGCAAGCAAAGCTCACCTTCACTGCTGGCAGCATGTCCAGGGAGTCCAGTGTGAACAGCACTAATGCTTGCATCAGCATCATAAATTGATTAAATTGCCATGTCAGGCTAAAGAGAAAAGTTGATATGAAAATGGCAAGAAGTGTCAGCCTCTGTAAAAAGAAAACCTTTGTATAATTTACATGTCTCTAGTAATAAAAAAAAACCTTGCAGACAAGTTTTCTCAAGAGCAGCCAGTATCTCTATAAACCAAATAGAAAAACCATAAACTGTTGCTCTGAAAACCCTTGCATTTGTTATTTAAGCTCTAACTATCATAAAGTGACACTTTGCATATAAATATTCACATACGGTGTGTGTATTCCACACTATTATGGAGGCGATAATGCACCAAATCACATCTCAAGAGCAAGGGCTTAAAAATTCTGACAGTTTTGCAGAAATTGTGTGTGGGTTTGCTGCAACTATTTAAGGGTAGATTATGTAGAGTACATTTTTAACATCAAAAATGAAAACATTTTCTTTGCAAAGTAGGAAAAAGCTCAGGAAAAGAAAACTTAATTTAACTCAAGTTTAAAAATCGGTCGTGGAATAAGAACTATTTACATGCATTGGGATACTAAGCACCTCACAGTTTTTTGAAGCTTCTCATATAAAATTGGGGGATTAAAAATAAATGAAATTTTATAAACACTTACTTCAGAAAGAGGCTGTAAGTTTGGTCTCAGGAAATACGTAATTGCTGCTATCTGAATTGCAAAGAATGGCAGCGCCCAGTTCTCTCTCAGTGGGATGGTGAACTCAACTCTTGTGGTATCTATTCTGCACAAAAGAAAACACAAACGGCCAAAGTGATAGTTTTTAAAATAATTTCCTTGAAGACTTTCTCAGTGAAAGTATATTACATTAAGGACAAGTATACTTAAGATTCTGGCCACTGGTTCTCAATAATTGTCCTTATCATCATCATCATTCGTATAACATAAAATTGGCATAGAGAGTGTTTAAATGCGCTGTCCATGGTATGCCCTTAGCACTCGGGGTTCAAGCTCAGGTTGGCATGACTCCTAAACTCACAAACATATCAGCCAAACCCTTACTTTTATTTATCTCTAACTTCATTAGTGTCAAGTGGCAATTTTCCCTCGGTGTTTCTTACACTTAAGTCTTAAATATGACATTGGCAGTATTTTTTAAAAAAACTTCCTGCCTTTCTAGAATGTGAACCCCAAGATGGCAAGTATAGGTAAGATTTTTCATCTTCATACACTCAGCACCAAGAACCATCTCCAAACATACTAGGCATTCAATAAATGATACACATATACAACACATACGTGTGTGTGTGTGTGTGTGTGTATCTCTATATCAATGTATCTATATCTACATATATTTCTATATGAGATACAGATATCTATATATATATATATAACAAACAATATATCAATGTATTTATATCTACATGTATCTCTACATAAAAGATATATATAGATATCTGTATATCTATATCTCTATATAAAACATAACCTTTAAACCTCAATTTTATCATTCTAAAATGGGGATAATAGTAGTATCTATAGGGTTCTTAGAAGAATATATATGAAGTATCTTGTAAAGTGCTTGGTATACAGTAAACACCCCCTAGGATTGTAATAAAAGTAATTTGCTTAGAATTACAAAATAAAACCTGTATGAGAATTCATGCTCCAGTTTTGACTCCTATTGAATACTGGTGCTGCCACTGTAGGTCAGGCAATAATTCAATGACCTTGAATAACTATATATATATATATATATATACACACACACACACACACACACACACACACACACACATATATATATATATATATATATATATATAAATTTTTTTTTTTTTTTTAAAGATGGAGTTTTACCATGTTGGCCAGGCTGGTCTCAAACTCCTGACCTCAGGTGATCCACCTCGGCCTCCCAAAGTGCTGGGATTACAGGAATGAGCCACTGCGCCCAGCCTGAATATGTTTTTTCTTATGTAACTTCATAAGGCTCTACTGCTTATAAATTAATAATAGATATTAATTAAAGCAAAAATGTCCTTGCATTTATATATCTTTATGCTGTACTAATTGAGAGCCATACACAACCCTTTTAAGGTTGATAGTGAGGATCTCACTAAGACTTTTTAGGCAAGGCATAGTGGCAAATGCCTGTAATCCTAGCACTTTGGGATACCAAGCTGGGAGGACTGCCTGATGCCAGGAGTTCAAGACCAGCCTGGGCAACATAGAGAGATCCTGTCTCTACAAAAACAATCCCTAAATAAAATTTTTAAAAATCTTCATTGGCTTTAAAAAAAAGCAAAAAAAAAAACCACCAAAAACTTTATAATGACTGATATGCTAACTTGATCTGATCAGTATATTCTCTGCATGTATTGAAATATCACTATGTATTTCATGAATATATACAATTATTATTTGTCAATTTAAAAAACTCTTTAAGAGGCCGGGTGCAGTGGCTCAAGCCTGTAATCCCAGCACTTTGGGAGGCCGAGGCGGGTGGATCACGAGGTCAAGAGATCGAGACCATCCTGGTCAACATGGTGAAACCCCGTCTCTACTAAAAATACAAAAAATTAGCTAGGTATGGTGGCGCGTGCCTGTAATCCCAGTTACTCAGGAGGCTGAGGCAGGAGAATTGCCTGAACCCAGGAGGCGGAGGTTGCGGTGAGCCGAGATCGCGCCATTGCACTCCAGCAGCCTGGGTAACAAGAGCGAAACTCCGTCTCAAAAACAAACAAACAAACAAACAAAAAAACTCTTTAAGAAATGAGATATGTGGCTGAAGAAATCCTGAACACACAGCAAACAGGTAATACGTTTGGGATTATTATGGATGGTTTTCTTTATTTGTAATTCAATGATCTGTTCCTCGGCTGGCATTATATGTAAGTAGCGCTTTCTCCCTAACTAAATAAGAAAAATTGAGTACCACCAGGTAAACCAAAGAGAAAATGCTCCCAACCAAACAAATGTGGCAGAAGTTGTTTCTCTGAGCTGGAAATGAAGTGACTTCATTTTTACTCACATTTTGGAAAGAAGAGAAGCACACTGACTCCAACTCACCTATTTGTGACATACCAGAAAGCTGCCAGTAGTCCTGACAGCCACGTACCACTAAGGAGCCAGCTGGTTATGTAGAGAGCTGTGACATAGATCGCCTGGAGCCCAAATAAGGTGTAAATATAAAAATAAACTGGCTCTAAATATTTCTGTAAAAAGGAACAATAAAACATGCTTGTCAGGTGACCCGTAACCCTCCTCAGCGCCACTTAAAACATGACAGTAGGAACAGAATATGCAGGAGCTTGCCCCTAATTCCCAGCAGCAAGCCCACACCCCCTTTCTTCTATTAGAGAAGCCTGCGGGCAGGCTTTCTTCCCACCACCAAGAAGAGACAGGAGAAGGAAGTCGGTGAGGGGGTCTGGCTTCACTCTTTACTCTAGAAAGTTTATACCTAACTGCCTGATGGTATTTCATTCACATGAGAAGGGGTCATTGTGATTTGCTGACTTTACAAATTTTTTTATCTCCAAGATCCATCAGGAGTGATTACACATATCCAAATGAAAATATTTATCAGCTTCTAGACTGTGTACATATATTATAAGCCAGGAAGCATCTATGTACAAAAACTTTATATCTCATGTAAATAAAACGCAGTATCTTATACAACACGAAGTTCACAATATACATGGAAAATTATGGTATTGCTGATTTTCTACTAAACCAGTTGAAGATCAGAAGGATATATGTGACAACTTTCAGCTCAAAATGGCAGACTTTGACTTTCATCTGATATTAACAATTCAGTGTCACAAAACATAACATACCTGTATGGGTAGAACTCTATATAAAATACTGAGAAAAACCTCTTGGTAAATATTCATTCGCTGAAGGAGGTTAATTGTCTTCATAGATTCAGTTTTATTATCATATATTAGACCACGAAAACCTAAGATCGATATGTGAAAAGTCAGGAAGAAAATAGTTACATTCATCATTATTCATTCATTAAAACTATCCACAGATTGTTTAGTATGGGTTACAGACTGTGGTAGGCACTGGGGATATAATAGTAAGCAAAAAATCCATACTCCTGCCCTCAAAGAGCTTACCACATATTAGATGGACATCATTTAAACACGTACACAAACATAGGTAAATTAAAACTTTTGTAACCGCAATGAAAATACCACCACCACAAAATCCTTCTCTTGTAATTTGGGCAACAGGATTTCACATTTCTCCACCCTGTCCTCCTGCCACGTGACCTGCAGTGTCTCCTCTGGGAGAGTATACATGGCCTTCTCCAATCCCCAGAATGGCTTTGGCCATGTGCTCTGACCAGTGGCATGTGAATGGAAGTAAGCTACAGCTGAGCAGAGGCTTTAGGAGACAGAGGATGTTTCTACCAGCTCTTGCTCTTGCCCTGCCATGACACTGGCACGTTCCAAACAGGGACTAGGCTGAAATGTGTGGGTGTGGGGGGCAGGGCAGAGCAGGGCTGCAGCTGCTTCACAGCGGACACATCATGAGAAGGAGAACTCGCCCTGCTGTTACAGAGATCCACGGCCACAGAGGTCCTCTGTCACTGTAATCAAGCTAATTAAGCCAAAGCATGAATGGATAGTTCACAGAAGAAAACATGCACACAGTTCCTCCACACAGAAGACGCTCAACCTCACTCCTATTAAAAGAAGTGCAAATTAAAACTACACTGAGGGATGCTATGTCTCACCTATTGCCTTGGCAAAAATCAAGACGTTTTATAGCACACTCTGCGAGACCATAAGGAAGTAGACTCCTATATACTACAGTTGGGAATACAAATTGGTATCATCTCGATGGAGAGGAATTTTGCAATATCCAGCAAAATCACATTAATTTACCCTTTGATCCAGAAAGCCTGTTGTCTAGGTATCGATCTCACACACAGGCTGGCAAAAATACAAAATGACATCGGAACAAGGTCACGCCTGCAGCACCATTTGTACCAGCAAAAGAGTGATGGAAAACAACCCAGATGTCCCTCAATAGGAGGTGCTATGGACTGAAATGTGTCCCTCTCAAAGTCACATGTTGAAGCCCTAACCCCTTATATGACTGCTCTTGGAGACAGGGCCTATAGGAGACAATAAAGGGTAAGAGAGGTCACACGGTGGGGTCTTAGTCCCATAGGACTGGTCCTTATAAGACGAGGAACAAAAAAACTTGCTCCTGTGCTCTCTCTCTCTGGCTGTACCTGCACAGAGGAAAGGCTGTGTGAGGACACAGTAAGAAGCAGGAGGAGAGGCCTCTACAGAAAGCAATCCTAACAGCATGGGGATCTTGGACTTCCAGCCTCCAGAAGGGAGAATTTCTGTTGTTTAAGCCATGCAGTCTGTGGTATTATGTTACGGTAGACCTAAAGTCTAACACAGGAGTGTTAGGGATGGATAACTCTCCAACTCCTATGTGGGAGAATTAGAGTTATGGGCCCTTATGATGGGATTAGGTACCCCACTGACCCGGATGTGACAATTACACACTGCATGCCTGTATCAAAATAGCTCATGTACACCATAAAAATATATACCTACTATGAACCCACAACAATTAAAAACTATATATTAAGAGTGAAAAAATAAAGCAAAAATTAATAAGAACGGTTACCTAAAGAGTAAGGAGGGAAACAGGGTGAAGAGTCAGTGATGGAAGCAGACGTCTCTGAATGCTCCCTGTTTTGTAGTTCTGACTTTGGAACCATGCGAGCTTTTCTTTGTAAGTACAAAAAAAAATAACTAAAATTTTTTCTAATACAAACTCTGAAAATGAAAAGCAAGATATGATAAACCTAGTTAGTTGGTGGCTTGGTCACGTATAGGAAATCTTAAATGACCCGAAGACAGAAGAATGTGCCAGTACATCCTTCAGTGAGTTATATCTTAATGAGAAGAATAGCAAAGATAGCCTGAACTATTTTCAGGTAATCATATTGTTAGCAACAACATTATGTTGTGACTTTAAAAGTATTTTTTATATATATAGTAGAACAAGACAACTAAGTGATAAAGTTAATGTCATAGGAACCCAAGTTTTCAACTGGAGAAAGGAGATACAACCATAAAACCAAAAAAGGGAAAAATCCTTGTCATTCTAACTCTGAGCTGAAATGAGCTATATTCCTATTTTCTCTTAGGAAAAAATTTCACATTTCCTAGCGCTCCTCACTAAAAACACTTGAAAACAATACCCAATCTAGCAGCAATAAGCATCCCTCATACCCAAGCTGTGGTCCCTAAACAGCCACTAATAAGAACTAGAGGCCGGTGCAGTGGTTCACGACCGTGAGCGTATTGGGAGGTGGAGGCAGGAGGATCACCTCAGGTCAAGAGTCCAAGACGAGCCTGGTCGACGTGGCGAAACGCCGTCTCTACTAAAAATACAAAAATTAGCCAGGCATGATGGTATGCGCCTGCAGTCCCAGCTACTCAGGAGGCTGAGGCAGGAGAACTGCTTGAACCTGGGAGATGGGGGCTGCTGTGAGCCAAGATGGCACCACTGCACTCCAGCAAGACTCTGTTTCAAAAAAAAAAAAATTATAATAACTACAGCTAGTTGGAAGAATGGTCGATTCTAGGTAGGGGTAGGAAATAGACACAAAGGGCCTATTGCCACACCAAAAAGCTAGGGAGTTTTCAAAGACCACTGGGGTGATGTTGGAAAGACAGCCATCAATCTGAAGGGCATCCTACCGGACAATGGTGGGGCAATTTTAATAAGAATAATACAAAGGACTGAAACACATCAATTATGCTAAAAATCCACAAGTTTATGATGATTCTTAAAAAGCACAATCTTATGACAGTACTGGAAATGTAACTCATTCTAAAAACAATAATGGGCAAGTCCAAATATTTATCCTCCCTTTCCTTTATGAATGAAACTGGCTTACCAAATAGCCGAGGGAAAATGTTTTTCTTTAGAGTTAAATTCTACCTAACAATGATATAAGGAATGACAGAGTTAGAACATCCCCATGTTGCAGTCCTTACGAAATGGATGGATTTAGGTAATGATCAACCTTGGTGCTAAGCCATTAGGGGAAAGGCTATTAGAAACTTGCTCTAATGTGGAAGCATGCCGCACCATCCAGGAAGTATTCTCACCAAAGGAAGTGCCTAAATCCAAGCAAACCTTAGATCAAACTATCAATTAACTAAAAATCCAGGGAACAGTGAAACATTAAACGACACCATGACAGTAAAATACAGAAGGTGGAAGACTTGATCAGACAAGTGTTTTCAAAAGAAATTTCAAGAAAAAAGAAAGATAATGACAGATTTAAAGAAACGGTTAAAGAAATTATCAAATGACTGTAATGTATAGGCTTTATTTGGATCTCAAAAACTGTATTAAAAAATCTCTAAGACAACTTGGAAATGAGAACACTGACTCTGAAACCGACCGATATATTTGCACATGAAGCAATGTGATGTCTTGAATTTACTCCAAAGTAATCCAGGTTGGGGGCAAGGATAGAAGAAACAAGATTGGTCACGAGTTGGCTACTGCTTTAGCTGGATACACAGAAACCAATTAGATGATTCTGTCCTTTTATATGCTTGAAAATTTTTTTTCTTTTTCTTTCTTGCTTGAGACAGGGTTTTGCTCTGTCACCCAGGCTGGAGTGCAGTGGCATCATCAGTGCTCAGTGCAGAGGCATGATCACAGCTCACTATAGCCTCAACGTCCTGGGCTCAAGCGATCCTCCTACATCAGTCTCCTGAGTACTGGGACTATCAGCATTTATCACCATGCCTGGCTAACTTTTTATTTTTTGTAGAGATGGGGTCTCACTATATTGTTCATCCTGGACTTGAACTACTGGGCATAAGTGATCCTGCCACTTCAGCCTCCCAAAGTGCTGGGATTACAGGGTGTGCGCCACTGCGCCCTACCTGTTTGAAATTGTCTAAAAAAGAATAATGAATGAATGAATGACATAAATGAATTAAAACGAATCAGTCAGTGAGTTCACAGTGATACTTAAAAAGAAAATATTCATCATACACCTTTAGAGCAGTTTCTCAACCTCAGCACTTCGGACATTTTGGCCACATAATTATTTGCCGTGGGGATCGTCATGTGAGTTAGCACTCACATGTTTAGCTGTGGCATCCTTGGTCTCTACCCACTGGACTCCAGCAGCAACTTGCCCCTCTTGTGATAACCGAAAATGTCTCCAGACGGTCCAGATGTGCCCGGGGGCACAGCTGCCCCCAATGAGAACCACTGCTTTAGAGGATGCTGGAGAGGTAGCTCATAATGTTGAGAACTGGTAATTGCAGCCAATTCTCATTATGCACAGTGGTAATGTCCAATAAAGTTGCAGTAAAAACTGAACTGGTGAATACTGAACAAGTAAGAAATAACAATTGCGTTCCTGTAAGCCTACGGTTACGTATTTTTGTCGACTGATTGACATGTAACCTAGTTTTATGTGTGTTTCTGTTTAAAGACACTTGCTTTAATATATATTGTTAATTCATACACACTTAACTCATGGCCAACAGCAATATAACCCATGCCTAAATGAAGTTTATCTACACATATCTTCTCTATAAGGCACATCACAGCATTCTTGTGCTCAGGAACAGTAGACACCACTTTAGCACTGTTTTGGGGGATCGTTTTAAACTGTACAGTCACCAACAAACAGCAAAATAATGCAAAGGCCATGGCACGAAACAGACTTTCTAAAAAGGACACTGCAGTGTGAGAGCTGAGACAAGGAGGCAGAGTGTTGCCTCGTTCAGTCTCTGTGGGGAACATGTGTGCCAGAGGCTAAAATACTTTGTTGCACTGGACATGTCCATAAATGACTGTGAAAGCACCATAAATACTGATTTTAGGGTTACAAATACATTTTAGGAAGCAACTATGGGATCCGTGAATAACAAGGTTTGATCACATGGGGAAAAAATGAATACTAAGCCTGCCTTTCTTGTATAAACTGTACCACAAGAGCCAAACAATCAATGAGAAAAAAGTTTTCTCTATAACAGAGTCCCAACTAATAAACACAGGAGGAATGACAGAAGTAGAAGGTCACTAATTTGCACCCCTTCTGAAATAAGAACTATAGATATAATCATCAATGGCTACTAAAACCACAAGGTGAAAGGCTGGTGAGTAATTACCCTTATTATGGATGAATCTGGCTATCAACACAGGAACCACCTCATTAATTTTTATGGCACAAAACCAAAGAAAACCAAAATGTCATGTTTCCTAGGTGATAAAACTAAAAGTACAAAACATCACTTATGAGCTGGGCGCAGTGGCTCATGCCTATAATTCTAGCACTTTGGGAGGCTGAGGTGGGAGGATCACTTGAGCTCAGGAGTTCGAGACCAGCCTGGGCAACATAGTGAGACTTTGTCTCACATAAAAACAAAACAAAACGAAAAAATGAGCGTGGCAGTGCACAGCTGTAGTCCCAGCTACTCGGGAGGCTTGAGGCAGGAGGACTGCTTGAGCCTGGGAGATCAAGACTGCAGTGAGCTATGATCACACCAGTGCACTCCAGCCTAGATGACAGAGTGAGACCCCTTCTCAGAAACAACAGCAAAAATATCATTTATGAATAACTGCCACCAAAAATGTCAAAGCTGACTCCAAGTAAAGCCTAGAAAAGGGCAGTTTTCTGTCACATGCACTCATGCTAAGCCTATCAAGTATGTATTAGGTAGAAGAGATACATTACATGTCGGGTCTTTCATTAGATGGAGTAAATGTAGAGTGTGGGCTCTAATCCACTTAGGGGAAGTAAAAATTCAGGGAAAAGGCAACTGTGAAATAAAGGAATGAATGGGGGTACTGGGGACAAGAGGGACAACTGTAATTTTCATTTGTGTTACCAAAATGCCTCCTGTTCTCAGACAGTACTCCTTTCACCTGCAAAGACCTCTTCCAAAATGATCGTGAGAAAATTTGGCAACACAACCATGAAACTGCGAAGATACTACTTTTGGGATGGAGGAGAGCTGGAAGGTAAGGAGAGGAGGGTTATATAAAGTATTACATAACTTCTTCCAAAGCAAAAAAATTTTCACGGAATGATTAGACATTAACAGTGAAAAACTACACATGTTCTAGAGAGCATTTAAATGCTTTTCAGTGCACAGTACTTCTGACTAAAACATTGAAAAGCAGCAGAAGACCCCAAATGAAACTATAAGTTGCAATTACCTTGCACGAGGGTTGGAGCCTGCAACATCTGCTTGTAGTAGGAGTAATACAGGCCACACTCTGTTCTGAATGAGATTTCTCGCTCCACTTCCTGAAACAGAGTTAGATCCTATGGGTTTACGTGACCTAGTTTTGTTTAAATACATGTTGTCACTGTAGAAAGCATAGAGAACTGCAACTTCAAAGAGAAAAAAAGTATGAAAATACAGTCTCAACCTTGGCAAACAAGAATGGAAGGCTGACCATTGTTAAAGCTGAGTGAGGGACACATGGGAGTTGGTCCTATTATTCTCTACTTCAGTGAATGTTTAAACTTAAAAAAATTTTTTTAAAGACTGTATCACCATTCCCATGCAATATTAGTGAGACACAAAACAGAGATGGCACCAAAAATTTTCCCAAATGAAAGGAAATGTAATTGCATTAGACACCTACCTAAAAGCTCCCAATATTACATAAGATCGATCATTTTCTTTCTATTCTAAGAATAAAAGGCACCCAAAGTCAAATGACACAGACACACAAATTTTACTGACAAGTGCAACCCTGGTAGGAAGATGTTCATGCAGGTAAATGGATATATGAAATACTTAAACTGGTTTTAGATAAGGATTCAATCTTAGAAGAACTGGAAACTTAAAGTAACAGCTATTAGCCAATCTGGTTACAAGATACTTTTATTAAATTTAAATTATTACTATGAAAGTTATTACTATTTAAATTATTACCATGGAAGCAATGGGCAGTAAGGATGCAGAAGACTTTCTGGAATATTCCTTTCTGGAATAATACTCTCAGATACTATACTTTATATATAGGTTTGAGCAACCCTAACCTGAAAAGCTGAAATTCAAATGAAATATTTTGAAATCTGATACTTCTGTGAGCTGACATGATGCCACAAGTTACCCTGAATGTGCTATTTTTCCACTGTATTGATGGTATGTCATATTTTTTATTGTTAAGTACTTGGGTGTGAATAAGTATAAGAAAATGATTACTTATAAAGGTAGCATATGAATTCAGGGTCAGGAACGATGGTGATGCCAAATAACCACAGACTGTCCACTAGGATGGTTGAGATAGTGACACCTTTGTTTTCTGATGGTTCAGTGTCTACAAACTTGGTTTCATGCACAAACTTGTATATCATATAAAACTACCTTTGGGCTATGTGTACAGGTGCATATGAAACATAAATGAATTTCATGTTTACACCTGAATCCTATCCCCAAGATTTCTCATTACGTATATGCAAATACTCCAAAATCTGAAATCCAAAATACTCTGGTCCCAAGCTTTTCAGATGAGGGATACTTAACCTGTACCTGTAGAAGTATAAATAAACAAAAAGTTACAATCTATATCATTAGAGATTCTTTTACACCAGTGTTAATAAAAAAAAAAAAGCAAAACAAACCATGTCCTAGAATCTGTAACACGTTGTCTAAAATGTAATTTGATCTATGTTTTTTCATATTATAGCAGATCCATATTCCACAAACCCAACTGGGGAAAAGTGATAAATACTGAACATCTCATTTTCTTTTTTTAAAATTTAATTTAGTTAATGTTTTAAATGATATTTTAAGTTCTGGGATACACGTGCAGAATGTGCAGGTTTGTTACATAGGTATACGCATGCCATTGTGGTTTGCTGCACTCATGAACTCATCATATACATTCGGTTTTACTCCTAATGCTATCCCTTCCCTACCCCCCAACCTCCCAACAGGCCCCCTTGTGTGATGTTCCCCTCCCTGTGTCCATGTGTTCTCTTTGTTCAACTCTCACTTATGAGTGAGAACATGTGGTGTTCGGTTGTCTTGAACATCTCATTTTCTAGCTGATGAACTCCTTTGGCTCATCTTTGCTTTCCCCTATTACCAATTTTCAAATAGTAATAAACATTTCGTTGAAAGAACCGCTCAGGTTGGGTGTGCTGGCTCACACCTATAGCCTTGCACTTTGGGAGGCTGAAGCAGATGGATCACTTGAGCCCAGGAGTTCAAGACCAGCCTGGGCAACATGGTGAAACCCTATCTCTACAAAAAAAAAAAAAAAAAAAATAGCCAGGCATTTTGGCATGCACCTGAACTTCCAGCTACTAGGGAGGCTGAGGAAGGAGGACCCATTAAGATTCAGCCTACCAGGAGGTTGAGATTGCAGTGAGCCATGATCAATCCACTCCAGCCTGGAAGATACAGTGAGACCCTGACTCACTCACTCTCTCTCATACACACACACACACACATACACACACACACTCTCTCTCTCTCTCTCACACACACACACACACACACACACACACAGACACAGAAATTCATGTTATTATCTTCAGACTTAGAAATTATTTATTGAATATATTTCTGCTACTCTCTAAATATCTTTATCACTGTTAGTTAACTCGTTTTAGAAATATGAGAGGTGGGGTAGCAAACCTTATATATTGAACTTCCTTTCACAAAAAACAAATTTATCCTGGAGAAATCAAGCATTTAAAAAAAGGCCCACCAGGTTTTTAATTTCTTTCTTTTAATTTCTTTCTTTTCTTTTGGAGGCAGGGTCTTATTCTGTCACCCAGGCTGGAGTACAGTGGCATAATCACGGCTCACTGTAGCCTCCACCTCCCAGTTTCAAGTGATCCTCTCACCTCAGCTTCCCAAGTTGCTGGGACTACAGGCACGTGTCATTATGTCAGCTTAATTTTTGTATTTTTTGTAGAGGTGGGGTTTCGCCTTGTTGCCCAGGTTGGTCTTGAACTCCTGAGCTTAAGTGATCCTCCTGTTGTGGCCTTTCAAAGTGCTGAGATTACAGGCGGGAGCCACAGTGCCTGGCCCTGAAACTTCCTTTCAGTAACACACTTGCTTTATAAAAAGGCAAATACATAATAATACAGCTTTGTTAATTTTCACAGTTGCTAGCAATTTGTGTTGTATCTTTCACAGCAGTAAAGCAAACTCTTCTGGGTAGTTAAGTTAAACCACTCATTTTTTATCTTTGAGAAAAACTGCTCTATTGCTTTTGTGAACATAAAACCAACCTGGTACCACTCGTTTCTAGAATGTTCAAACTCCTACTCAAATAACCAAAGAGGCTATGAATTGATGTTAACTGAGCAAATACTAGCTTCTGTCCATGCAATAAGAAAAACAACAACATTACATTCATTTTCTTTTCTCTACCTTCCTTAAAGTGTTTAAAGGCACTTGAGGAGTGTGAAAATCCTCATATCACACTACATCCCCAAATCAAACTGGAGAGCCAATAAAGAATGAAAGAGTAAATTGTATGGTTCTAAGAATAAAAGACCAGGAAATAAGAAAAAACGCTGTTCAAAGTACTAAAGGTAGAAAGCTTTTGTGTCTCATCCCTCACTCTAATGCAGCCAGAATGCATAAAGAACAGAGGGGGACCTAATTAGTAAAAATGCATTCAAACATGATTAATTGGTAATCTGGCACCAGCTGTATAGAACCAAATGCTATACTTTATTAGACAGACACTTGCAAGTTTTACATCTGCTTCATGCTAAGAGAACATCTGCTTCACTCATTCAAACACTTTTCCAGTTTTACAGCAATTTATACTTCGCTGGGTAGATCACGCCCGTGAAAAGACACACCAATAGTAAGTAGTCATCAAGTAGTCATCCTCTAAAGAATGCAAAACGAACAAATACTTCGTATTTTAATTTGCACAGGTTCCATGGGGAATGCAACGTTGACAGAATAAAAACACCTTCGAAGATAATGACAGAAAAGTGGAAAGACAAGACTTGTATTTATAAAGAACTGTACAGCTAAATCCATTGAAGTAACAGTGTATACAGTAATCTAAAAGAAGTCCAAAAAGAAAAAGGCATCAAGAAAGAAAACGACCGCTCACAACGAACGATCCCATTCCCCACAAGCACTCAGGTAACGTGTTGGCAGCGCCCAAAAGGCTAGAGTCCTTTAGACAAATGAGACCGGATTTGGAAAAGAAACATCAAATTGGCTTTTTCAAAATCTCATGTAAATGGATCCCCCAGGTAATGTCTGGTCACCCTGGCCTGCCTTTAGCAAGAATCCTCTAAGCCTGGTTAAGCCAGAACCCCCTGCACCCCAAAGGTTCCTCTTACTCATTTCCCAGCCATTGACCCCACCCCTATCCTCGGCTACCCATCCCTACTGGCCCACGCTGTACTAGGAGTTGAGTATAAATCTCTCTACCACTGCAAGACCTCATTGCAGTGGTCTCTACATCTATCATGATGGTCCTGAATAAAGTCTTCCTTACCTTGCTTAAATTAAAAAAACAAAACAAAACAAAGACTTTGTTTACAGGCTGGGCACAGTGGCTCACACCTGTAATTCCAACACTTTGGGAGGCCAAGGTGGGCAGATCACTTGAGGTCAGGAGTTTGAGACCAGCCTCGCCAACATGGCAAAACCCCACGTTTGCTAAAAATACAAAAATTAGCTGGGCATTGTGGCACCTGTCGGTAATTCCAGCTATTTCGGAGGCTGAGGCATGAGAATCACTTGAACCTGAGAGGTAAAAGTTGCAGTCAGCTGAGATCCTGGCACTGTACTCCAGCCTGGGTGATGGAGTGAGACTGTCTCAAAAAAACAAAAATAATAATAAATAATAAAGTTTCATTTGCAAAAATTATCCCCCAAAATAATGAGACTGCTAGTAGTGGGGAAGCCACTGAAAAATTAACTTTATAAATGTAATCCGTTTCAGAATTAGGTTAACAAATCATCTCACCAAGAAATAGTGGCCCATAAGACAGCTGTTCTTAAAGTTCTGTACTGGGAATCATGCCCTCAGCAAACATATTTATGGCACATACATGGTTTATTGTCTGGTTAAATTCATGTCCATCTGTTGGACGGGAATGAGCCTTGCCCTAGAGTTGATTAAAGCCGTGACATGTGAGAGATGCCAAGCAGGGCTTCTGAGGAGGGCAGTCTGCTGCTGAAGCGACAGTTCTTCCACTGGGCCCACACTCAGGCAATCAGCAGGCTTAGCAGTACTGTTCTACTATTGTGTGGATTAACCCTATTAGAATATAAAGTCTCCTTGCTCTGTAGATTTATTCAA